CCTTTTACATTAAGAGTTGTTATTGAAAGGTGTTGATTTACTCCTAGCATTTTATTGATTTTTGTTTGGATGTCTTAAGTATCTTTTGTTTCTTTCTTTCTGATTTACTCTTTGTTTTCTGTATTTGTTGGTTTCTTGGGGTGCTAGGTAAACTTTTTTCTCTCTTTCTTGTTAGCATTTTTATTTTACTAGTGGTTTTTGTTCTTTCTTGAGTATTTATGGCAGTGGTGGTTGTTTTTCAGGCACCATAGCCAGGACTACCTTGAGAATTTATTGTAAGGCTGGTCGTGTGGTAATGAACTCCTGCAGTTTCTGTTTGTCTGAGAAATATACTATTTGTCCTTCATTTTGGAAGGATAGCCTTGCTGGGTAAAGTATTCCTGGCTGGCAGTTTTTGTCTTTTAGTATTTTGAATATATCATCCCATTCTTTCTGACTTTTAGGGTTTCTGATGAAAAGTCTGATGTTAGTCTGATTCGGGCTCCCTTATAGGTGGTTTGGCACTTCTCTCTTGCCGCTTTTAAGATTCTCTTTGTCTTCGAGTTTTGCCAGTTTGACTATAACATGTCTTGGAGAGGACATTTTTGTATTGAATATGTTTTAGAATCTTTGAGCCTCCTGGATTTGAAGATCTGTGTCTTTCCCTATATCTGGGAAGTTTTCTGCCATTATTTCATTGAATATGTTTTCAATGCCAGTTCCTTTTTCCTCGCCTTCTGGAATACCCATGAATCAGATATTTGAGTGCTTAAGGTTTCTGTTATCTTTCTTAGATTTTCTTCAATTTTTTTAATTCTTTTTTTTTTTTTTTTTTTTTTCCACCTATGTTATTTCATACAGCTCATCTTCAAGGTCAGAAATTCTCTCTTCTGCTTGTTCTAGCCTGCTGGTTAAACTCTCTGTTGTGTGTTCTATTTCATTGAATGAATTCTTCAGCTCCACAGGCTCTGCTATGTTCTTTTTCAGGGCATTGATTTATTTGTACATTTCTTTTTTCAGGTCCTGTGTACTTTTTCTCATTTCATTGTGTTGTCTCTCTGAGTTTTGTTGTATCTCATTTAGTTTCCTTAGAATTTTTGCTTGAATTCCTTGTCAGTCATTTCAAGGACTTCCTTTACTATAGGATCTAGAGCTTGAGAGTTATTATCCTTTGATGGTGGTGTACTTTCTTGATTTTTCATATTTCTAGTGTCTTTCCTTTGGTGTTTAGTCATTGTGGCCGGGGATTTCACAGTCCAGTCATTTGACCCTAGTGTCTGGCTAGGATCCTGCAGGTACTGCCAATTTGGCATGGCTGTCTCAGTGCCTGTGGGCCAGGGGCTCAGGCCTCTCTGGGCCATGGGGACTGGCCTGGGCTGGGAGTCTCATGATGGTGCCTAACTTCTCTGGCCCGGGTGGCTCAGGACCCTGTGGGCCTGGCGGCTCTCGGGCCCTTCTACTATGTCATGCTTTTTGCCTGAAAATTTATTTCATGATGGTGTGAAATATGAATAAGTTTTATGGTCTAAACAAATTGTCAGTAAGTTACCTTTGTAACTTTTTATCTTCTACTTAGTTGATAAATGCTGTTGCACAAAACACTTTCTAACTTAATTCCTCCTGGTAATGCAGCATTCTCATAGCTTGAATTTGGCTTAATATGGCAAAATTTTCTTCACTCTACTACTAATATAGTTTCAGAGATACTTTCAATTTACACTGCCTTTATGTTGGCTTTCAATTCCCTTTTCTCTGAATTTTTCCTATTTCCAAATTTTAGTTGTGGTTTTTTCTATGTACAATATATCTCTCCATTTTATCTAGAGATCTGCTTTTCTTATACCTCAGTCTCTGGTTTATATTCTTTCAAATTCTAACAGAATTCTCACTTATTTTCTAACACTTCTCATTGTTAATAAATTATTGATGATTTGTCTCTAAGATGATTCGAGAAAACTAATCAGAAAATAAGAAATAAGAGTTGTCATTACTGGTATAAAGTGATTTTTTTTTTCTTTAGCTAAAACTGAAAGCTGCTATGGTCATTTTTTCTATATTAGATTTCACCTGTAAGTAGCACATGTGTGTGTTTCAAAACATAATAATTATAAAATTTAAAAATAGATAACATATCCTACTTCTCTGATAATGCATTATATCTACACATTTCAGTATTGTCATAGGGACCAGTGTGATATATATTGAAATAGTATGAAATTTACACCAAAGTTTAAAAATTTTCTGAATAATTATATTCTTTGAGAAAACATTAGATCACAATAACAAATATATTTCCAATTTTATTTCTCATTATTCAGTGCATCTTTTAGTAGAAATTTCTCAGTATGATAAAGAATAACTACCAAAGTGCAGTTCACATGTTATAACAACTCCTTGCTAGTTATTAGAAAGCGTCTTCATTTGAAACCCAATCTTTGAGTATTATTGCTGAAATCTCTCATAAAACAGTCTCACCTATCATATATCCATGGCATGAATTGTAAAAACATGTCTTAGAATATGCTTCATAAGATTTGATAGAATGGAAACCTTAATACAAATGCTACCCCATTGAAGAATCACACACCCACACAAATACATACATACTATGGCACACCCCCAGACTTGCTTTTTTGGCCTAAGCCAAGAATCATTTAGAATAAATGTATCCAAAGTTAATCAACCAAGATTGCTATCCGTAAATTGTTTGCTTTTCCTTTTACATAAGTTTCATTTCTTTTCATCTTATTAGCAATCTAAATCTCCTACAATTTCCTACTCATACCTTTACACTAATGTAGGGTCTATTGCTTTTAGTATTGCACATTCAGATAATTTTAGAATTGGATCTCTGTAGAATACACATGACACACAGATTTTCAAAAGAACATAGAATAGTTTTCTTAGTCAAGACAGTAGCAAGTGTATACACAGGGAAGTAGCAGAAGATAGGAATATTAAGGTTAAGTTACAGCAGACTGTAGACAGAGTGCTTAGAAATTTATTAGGTAGATAATAGAAAGCCATCAAAGTTTATTTGGAATAGGAAATGTGACTTGAGATTTGAACTCTACTCTCTCAGTTAAATCACAAACTCTATTTTAGGTCTTTGATGAATATATTTTCAAATTTAATTAGCAAGTCTATGATATATTTCCATGTCAAGCACAAATGCTTCTACAGTGTCAATGTTTTGCTAATGGTTTTCCATCTTCAATGGAATAACAAAGACCTTTCTAACATATGATTCTTTTTTTGCCATTTGCAAAGTGTATTTGGTTTGTTTCTCGTGATTAATGCTGACTGATAGCTGGTTTGTTTTCTCTTCCAGGTTGTGGAAACTAATTTGGTTGCTTTTGACTGTCACTGGATCATTATAAATGAGGTAAAGCCAACTAAACCTTATTGTCAACTCTGTGTCCTGGTTTCATATACTCGTACATAGTTGCATCATTTCCTACAGCCTTGAATTTCTAAGAGGAAACAGAACATGACATAAACTTCCAGCTTACTGAGTGGATGCTGTTAAATAAAAATAGAATGAAGAGTTTTTAAAAATGATAAAGAGCTTTATATGAATAAAAAAAATGGAGAAAGTCTTCCCCACTGAGTATCTTTTAGCTTTTTCTGTTGGCACACACTGGCTGCTTAGGGAGATCGTCTTTATAAAAAGTACAGTTCTTCTTTGTAAGCAAAGTGAATTCCTCTCAGTGGAGTGCTTGTGTTCCATTTATATTTTAATGTTGTTTTGAGAACTTTTCTATCCACCTCTACACGATGATTAAATAGTTCAGTATATGAATATGAATATACAGAAAACAGATTATTTCCCCTTTCATAAAGAAGTAAAATTGTTTTGAAATCCATAGACTTGTCAAATTCCTTGAGAAAGTTTTTTTTTTTTTTTGCAAAAATAATACATGAGATTAAAAATATATTACAACCTGAGAGCCCTGTGAAATAAGTTATTCCATTAGCACTTGTCAGTCGGAATCAGAAAGGACAATGAGCACATCAGTTACGGACAAGTAATGTGATCACATGGATTTGTCCTAAAGAAGATGTAGTATTCAATCATATTTATTATTTACAAATAAAGGTAATGAATTATTTCTGTGTGAACAACAAATGTTGAATTATAGAATAGTTAACATTTTTTTTAGGGACAAAATAATACTTTGGGTAAGAATTCTGATTTTTCAGCTAGCAAAATAAGTTCAATCCTGGCTATAAAATGTGTGAGCTGTGTTACCATGGACATATAATATAATCTTCCTGTGCCTCAGTTTATTCATTCATACTATAACATTTATTTTACAGGTTAATAAAAATTAAATGAGATATTATCTAATGCTTTTAACACAGTGCCTAACAAATGACACTCAACAAATGGTACTTCAATAATGATTATATCACATTAAAGTTCACAGATCACTTTCTCACACATTATTTTGTTAAACACAAAACATTATTTTATGAAGTACTGAGGGAATGAGATCCATAGAAGATAAATGATTCGTCTCTCTTTACACAGTAAAAATAATGTTTCTCCACACCACAGTTCACTAAAGGAATTGTTCTTTTTAGCTCAATGTAAAGACACTGGGAACAAGTTGCAAATCTGTTTTTGGTCTGCCAAACTTTAGATCTATATGATTTATCACTGTATTTCGCATGTCAAATTAAGATGTGTTCCTCTGAAATTCCTGCAGGTAATGTGGTGTATGTGTGAGATCTGCTTTCCAATGAGGTTCTGATACCTTCTAATTTTCTAATACCTCTTAATCTTACATCTACAATGACTAAGCATCAGGATACAGGGAAGGGCAAAAGGAAGGGAACTTGGCAAATCTGCATGATAACTTTTCAAATTAGATCCGAGTGATCTTCAGAAAGTTCATGGGACCGGCCTGGTGGCGCACTGGATAAGTGCGCTGCTTGGGAAGCGCGGCGGCGCTCCGCCCGAGGGTTCGGATCCCACATACAGACCAGTTCCCGCTCACTGGCTGAGCGAGGCGCGGGGGCAACACCGAGGGTTGCGATCCCGTTGCCGGTCCCGGTCCGGTACGGGGGCAACACTGAGGGTTGCGATCCGTTGCTGGACACGGAAAAAGACAAAAAAAAAAAAAAAAGTTCATGGAATGGTTCATGTTATTTTTAAATCTATTTTTCTACGAACGTTTTAAAGTGCACTTGTATTTTCATTTCTTTTTTTCTGCAAGGAAACTAAAGTTCAAAGAAATTAAACAATTCACCAAATATTACACAACTATTAATTGGTGATAATGAGAATTAAAATTTAGTCTTTTCCAGTGTAAAGCTTTGGATGTTTTCGTTTTGTTTCGTTATAATTCCCCTTAGGGATGACATTTCTGAAATTCTCACTACCTCACTTTTAATCTTATAGGAGCCGTTTATCCCACTAGCTTGTCTTTAGTTTAATTATTTTTCTACTTTTTTTGAAATAAATAATCCTCCTTATCCCTTGTTTTTACTTCAAACTCAACTTCTGATAGAAATAGACCGCTCAGATTACCTGTTACAAAGCAAGCTATAGTCATTTTACTTGTTTATGTCAAAAAATCCAAAGAGGAAAAAAAAAGTGGCTTCTTTCTTCCTTAGAGACATGCATTAATCAAACAAATTAATACTTACAGTCACTAAATGGAAATGGCCATCCCCTTCTATTATTTGATAAAACTGTAGAATGAATTTCTGAATTAATTTTTTTTTTTCATATCCAATTTACCCTCTACAGCTATACCTGGATCTTAAAAGTGTGAACCCGGGCCGGCCCATGGCTCACTCGGGAGAGTGTGGTGCTGATAGCACCAGGGCTGCGGGTTCGGATCCCATATAGGGATGGCCGGTTGGCTCACTGGGTGAGCGTGGTGCTGACAACACCAAGTCAAGGGTTAAGATCCCCTTACTGGTCATCTTTAAAAAAAAAAAAAAAAAAGTGTGAACCCAAGTAGGGCTACCCAGAACATTCATCCACTGTTAAAGGGCCAGTTGGTGCTTTGGAAGAAATCGCCCCTTCACATTAATATTTATAGGCATAGTCTAAGTAGACTAGCATGTATTTCATTGGTGATAAATACCATGGAAATAATAAAACAAATTTATATTTTATTTTGCCTTTCATAAGCATTATGACTCATTTTGGAGAATTTATCATTAACTTTTTTTTCATAAAATATTAGGAGGGAAATATTGTCTTTAAATGGATGTTCCACAATTTGGGCCACTATTTTGCAAAATAAAACATTCATATAAACAAAACAATCTAACGGGTAAATGACTCAATAAATATTAGGAGTTTAGAAGACAATAAAGAAGGCATCAATTCTTTTCTCATCCTTCTAACTTGGGTATTCTACTGTAAATTGTCCTAACTATAACTTCACCTTTACCGTCACTGAAACCTTTATCTCTTTTTTTACCCACAACTCTACTCCTAGTCCTTGAGCAAAGGTGTCATTTCTTTTGGGCAGCTCAATACTGCCTAGCTTCTGAAAAATACAATGTTTACACACCATTTACATTGATTATTACTTTTATGTGAAGTAGGTTAAAACTCAGAGAGTGAGCATGTTTTCTGTATTTTCACCCCTAAGAAAAACCATCAGCAGCCAGTATATCTGAGGTCAACAATCTTACTTCTGTATGATCCCATTCAGCCACCTCATTCTGTCTGATATGCCTCAGGAAACTTGACTCTTACCCTTTTCTTACACACTTTTCATTCACATGCTTGTTTATACAAATTTATAATGGATGAATCATAATTTAACCTAGTTTCGTTAAAAGAGGAAACATGAATTTCTCAAATTTACAAGGAAGCTACTGAATCTAAAAGTAACAACAACAAAAAACCCCAATAACAAGCAAATGCCCATTTTGACCGAACATGAAAAACATGAATCTGTCTAGTTTGGTTTGTGCAGCTATTACTTTGTTGCTAATTTTAAAATGAGTTGCAAACATTTATTTAATCTTATTGCACCAATAATTTTTTAGAGAGGGACTATAAATCAAAGTTGACATTGTGCATCATGACACAAATTGATGTAGAAACTTGAAAACAATATATTTTTTTCATTTGCATTAAGTGTGCTATAATAATGAGAGGCTGTGCTAGCTCATATGGTGCAATCAATCATGTGTTAGTACTTGGTAATGGTATTTATCTTCCCTTTGCAATCAGTGGATCCAGCTCAGAAAAGCCTTTCCATATAAGTGTTGTCATCCCTTCAGGGCCCTGAAGCAGATGGCCTAGCACTTTATTTAAGTTTTACAAAAGTTAGAAATTTAGATAGGAAGATATACACTGTATAGAGCTGCAGGAAGCATAACACTTTAAGCACCTTTCTCTTCCCTGATAGTACTGAACCTGACCTTTCGTGTCCTGATGTGATTTTACTGACTTCTTATTTAAATAGTTTAAGTCATTATTCCCTGTCAAGCAATGCTGACTACTGCAGTTAAGGATGAAGTTGGTTTGGGGATGGTGGTTGTTATTGTTTGAGAGTAAAAATGCCTATATGTGTAATGGATGTTTTTTACTTTTTCCAATTTTAGTGATGAATTGAACCACTCACTACTAATAAGTCAAGTGGAAAGTTGCCATTCTGTTCCCCTTTCTATTGATATATAGCTTACAGTTGGTTTTGTTCCATATTTCTGTTGCTTTGTGTTGCTTCGCCCACCACAGATTTGTCACCCCACTTCCCCTGGGTGACAGAGATGCAAAGGATTACTCAAAGCCCATCTCTTCTGAGCAGTCAGAGAAGCCCCAAAGTGGTTAACTTCTCTGGGACTCTCCAGCAAGAGGCCTCCCTTCCTTAGGAAATTAACCTCGAATTGGGGTTCTCTTCCTGCATTTATTTTCCAGACCAGGAAGTTACAGGAAGAGAACATAGGTGGGGTTATAGTTTAACAATATAGGCTGGTAACTTTCAGTGAAACAAGCGAGATGACATTCCAGTACAGCTATCAACAAAAGCTTGATCTTAGCAAACATTCCTTCTTATAGCAATTTCTCAGTATCTTTACATAGCAATCAGTAACTAGTCTATCCTTGAGCCAGCAACCTTGCTGTGCCACAAATCTTTATCTTACACCAGAGACTTATATAGCCTGAGGAAAATTTCCAGTCCTCCACAAGGTCAATATTTGAAACTGCAAGACTTGGGAAAACCAGGCCCTGTGAAGTACATATGCTTTTTAGTATTTTCCACATATTTCAACATTATGTTTGCATAATTACTTCATATTAATGTTAAATTCTATGGAAGTGTCAAAGGGTTATCTTTGCTGAGGCATGAAGAACGTAAACATATCAGGAAAAAAAGCATAATCTTCTCAAACTACACCACATAGCAGACTGCTTAGTGTCATTACTAAAATCTGCTTTATTTAGAATCATTTAATATTTTTAAAACATCCCAGTGTCTAGAATTAAAATTTCAAGCATCACTCTTTAGAAGATGGTCTAGTAAAATCTTGCTATTCATTCACTCATTCATTCATTCATTTTTTAAAAAAAATTTATCAACATTTATTGAATACCTGCTTATTAAGAGCCAGGAACTTTGTTAGATGCTAAGAGGTAAAAGAATGGGAAAAAGTGGGTAAAAGAAATGGGGAAAGAGGAAATAGGAAACTATTTCTCTGAATTGTCTTATATAATCTAGGTTAGTATCTGATCTAATGGATTTTAAGAGTCTTCCTCCCTGGAATTCTATTAATTTAAACCTAAAGCTGATACACTACAAGGATTCAGGAATGATTCGATTTTTCTAACAGGCTTTTTTCTAGGAAGTGGCTGTTTCTGGATGGAGTTGTAGCCCTAACAGATATTTCAGCTTTCCTTTTTCTTCCTTGGGTCTTACACAGTTCAGGGCTTATTCTAAATTAAACTATTAAGGCAACATGAATAAGAATATTTTCTTGGGCATATTAACTTGATTCTTAATATTTTTTTATTATTCAGATAAATTATTTTGGGGAAAAAGACTATATACTTTGCTCCTAAAGAATTAAAAAAAGCAAGTTAGGTATACTAAAATATATTTATTCATTTTTTATGGCAACATCAATTCTACTCTTTTCAATATACTTAAATAAAGAATACAAGAAGAATAAATAATTTCTTGAAATTCATTAAAGTTTGGAAAATATCTGTATGTCTTTATACAGATGAGCATATTTGGTAGGGCTGGGGGCTCAGGAGTGTGAGTACACGTTTGGTAAACTAGTTCTTTACATGATTACTTTTAAAAATCTGATGGTTTAAACATTATTTTTTAAATTTAGAACATTAGAACAATATAGACCCTGATAGATTTTATGATAGTTTCACATTTTAATACTGAAATTAACTTATAGATTTTTTTCATTTAAAAGGATCTCTTTATAGATTAAGTGATCACTCTTCTTTTAGTGTTTATATAACTTTGCACCTGCCACTCTTGAAATGCACCTTCTGAAGTGTGGAAGTAAAGTTCTGTACATATAAAATAGCTGCCTAATCAAGTTTTTATATCACTATCAAACTGGTTTTGAGATCAGATGTCAAAACTAAAATTGCAAGAGAATTTTTTGAGACAGACTGTCTGTTAGTTTCATTTAGAATGGCAGATTCTTTTCTCAGAGAAAATTACTTTCTCTTCTCTTCCCTAATTAATAATAGAAAAAATAAATTCAATTCAAATTGACATTTTTCAGATATACATTAGTTGCTTAGGCACCTGAGAACTTAAGCTCTTGTAACCTGTAAAAGGTAACCATCCCTTTTTGGGGATTTGAAAATTATCTTCTTAAGTTTTTGGCTCTTGATAAATGAATTTATTATTTTTTACAGAATCCTCAAGCTATTAAATGCTGAAATAATGTATCTTTATAGTTTTAATTCCTATCATTCATAAATATTAATATAAATAATTCCTGTAAGGAAATATGAACTTTTTGTATAATTAGTTCAGAGAGTGTCCCTTTTGATGACATATATAAATGCATCCTATGAATAAAGAATATTGTGAATGAAGAGTGCAGAATCTCCCTGGTTCTTTACTTATCAAGTAAGAATAAACAGTGTCTGATTCGGAGTGTCATTTTTAGCATAAAATGAGATAATAGGAAAAGTAGTCAGTGTTTTGCCTACCATATAGTAGGCACTTAAATGTAAATTTGTACTCTAAATGTGCTGATTTGCAGTTCATCCTGGGTTGTGTAGATAGAGACAGAGCTATTTAATAAACTGTGTTGTATGATAAAATGTTGATAAATCTTAGTATTGCTAAAGAAAAAAGGACCACACATATGAGGGATCTTCAAAAAGTTCAGATTCATATTGTCTTTTAATTTAATTTTTCCACTAACTTTTTGAAGTACTTTCATGTAATACAATTTAGTTAATATTACAACAGCAATACAATTTTCCACTGCCTTTTAAATGAAAGTTCCTGGCTGCACAGTACAGATTTTTAAAAATGGAAAGATGTTGAATGGCATTGTTAATATTAAGTTTAAAAGATTTCTGGTTAAAGTTAGGGCTTAAAATGGAGTTGACAGGACATAGTTTAATTCTGCTTTGTGAGTAGGTGACAGAGAATTAAAAAGTGACCTGCTCTTTGCCAGAAAGAGTTTTTTGGTAACTAGTGAAATGACACAGACTAAAGGAAAAAGATGGCATTTTAAATTGAGAAAAACCATTTTTTATGGTACATTTAGGATTAGTCACCCAGAAATCCAGGATATTAAACTGGATATAGCTGATGGCAGGTGTTTTTTTTTTTTTCAGAAAAATCCATATTTCATAAAAACCATAAATTAGACATGAATTTTAAAGCTAATATATTCTACGAGGAAGAATACTATGTAATTAGTAAAGAAGAACATTTACACCTGTAAATTGTCATTTTCTTTTTCATTATTCTGTAATAATTCCTTGGATCAAAACCGAAAAATGCTCACTTCGGTCCAAAATTTATCTTCTGTCAAATCTTTTACTTCTGTTGTTTTAAGAATCTATTCAAACCAATAATATGTTCATTGCAAAGGCTTCATTGGTTTAAAATGTTCCAAATGGACACTATTAAACACAAACTGCTTTAGTAAAGACTGCCTTAGAACTAAAGCTTTTATTGATCACTAATTCCAATTAGAACTGGTGGATTTTATAAAATTATTATTTCATTTTATTTCTTCTACATTCATCATTGAGCCAAATCTTGAATTTTAAGTTTGGAGTTTGGAGGTGGAAGGAGAAGGAAGTGGAAATTACAGTTTTTTTTTTTGTTTTTTTTTTTTTTTTAGCTTGGGAAACTAAAAATATGCAAAGTAAAATTCATTTAGATAAAGAGCATTGGGTTTCTCCCTTCTTTCATTCTGGTTCAGACTGTATTAACCCACAGAATTTTTCATCTTTATGTCAAGACCACAATTATAGACTAACTTACTCGTTCAAAAGCTAGCAAGCACTTTGTTTAATCTATTTCTTACCAAGTAAAACTTATGATTTAACACCAATAGTTCTAAGAAATAATTAGGAAAAGTTTAAAAACAAAAAAATTTCCTCTTGCTGTCTTTGCTTGCCTCATTTAAAATCCTCATTTTTTATTGACAAGAAAAACATATATTACTTTTACATTGCCACTATCTTCCTAGGTACTCAAAGTATCTTGAAACTTATTAATGAATAATAAACTATGCAGCAACTTACTTTGTGACTTTTTCAGTGTTTTGACCACACCTATATTTTTCTGAAGTGTTCAATATAATATATTATAAACTTATTAATAAAGTATATTTAAGTCAGTTGCCCCATTTATAATTATTTAGGCAGTAATGTATATAATTTAAAGCACAGACAGCAACTACAAATGAGTTGATCATTTTAATGACCCTATGTTGTTTTCATTTGGATATGTGCTAAGCATTAAGCAAATGTATTACAGTAATAGAATCCCTTAGCATTTCCAGATAACAACTCATTAATGGTTTTATGTTTCTGTTAATGTATTAATGTATTTCTGATTCTTCCACTTCTTATCTTATCTTATAGGAAATAAACGATGTGGATGTACAAGAACTTGTAAGAAGGTCAATTGGAAGGTTAACTATTATTCGTCAGACATTTCCAGTCCCCCAGAATATAAGTCAGAGGTGTTTCCGTGGCAACCATCGAATATCTTCAACGTTGTGTGATCCAAAGGATCCATTTGCTCAGAATATGGAGGTATACTCTCAATCCATCGTATTTCTTCCAGGGCATTTTGTAGGGCAATGGCAAAGACAGCTTTGTGAGTTATATTGGATTCAGAACTATGGATGTACATGTTATCATTTCTGAACAATTCTCCTCTTCCAGCACTTAGGAAGTCTGATTGGGAGAGAGTGCTGAGAATCTGTCTTTGATCCTTTTGGTCTCATTATAGAAAATATCTACTTCTTTAATAAAAATATAATAAGTAAAAGTTATTTCCTTCTAAGCAAGTAGTTCCATGGCATTTCTCATGGTAGAAAATGTGATTAATATTCCTAATGCCAAACTCCAAATTATTAAGCTAATAAATTTGCTTGACTTTTCCGGCATAAAAAGGACATAGGTGTTTATTCTTTTTTAAAAGATTAGTCTCCAGTTTTAAGAACTTCAGCAAATAAAACTATTTACAAATGCAAAAAGTACTGTAGTGTTATATAGTCATATCCAGCTCAGACAGGAATTGCTGAAATCTTTATCATCCAAAACACAGCAAAGAATTTGAAAGTAAATAAAATCTCTGAACAGCAAAACAGAAGACACCAAGTCTCTACAGCTTGCTCATAAGAATGCCCTTTAAATACTCACTTACAGCCTATTTCTTTTTCTTAAGGAAAATCATGTCAGATCTCTCTCTCTCTCTCTCTCTCTCTCTCTCTCTCTCTCTCTCTCTCTCTCTCTCTCTCTCTGCACTAGAGATCTCAGTATGTCAATTTGAAGGAAATGTTACAAAAAGCTGGTACACCAACAATAGCAAAGCAGCTATAAGGAATGCTCTCTAGCAAGAGACAGGAAAAAAGAATCAAACAGATATACTAACTCATACATTCTGTAAGTGTAGGATTTCTCCTGTAAAAACAAATCTATGTTATAAAAAAATTCCTAAGGGTATCACTGTAGCATAATACTGGCATACTAGTTAATATTTAAACAAGGACCCTAAGATATCAGCAAAGATTTGTCATGGTCAATTTTAGAAGTCAGAAAAACATGATATATTTTAGAAACCTATTCCTTTAAAATGTTTACTATGAAAGACATTTTAGTACTTAGGGATGCTCAGTTTGAACAGTTAAGAATTAAAACTCTAGGAAGACCAGTTCATTTCCAATAACACCAGATAAATAGGGGGATTTTGCAAAACTACTTCTCCTTTTGAAAAATAACCCCACAGCCTCCTTCTTCTTAGTAACATTTGAGGGTTTTTTAGATGAATTACCATTTATCCAACCATTTCCTCAGACTTGGTAGCACTGTAATGAGCAGTATGGCTTCAGAGTCATTACCCATAGAATTTTCTGTTCCCCGTTGGATTTTAAGCTCCTTTAGAATAGGTCACTTCCAGGACCTGGCATCACAAAATCCCATCATGTACTTCTCTGTCATTTCCTTCATCTTTCCTACCACAGTGCTTGGCACCTTTGTGAATATTAGTAGATTTGTATGTAGTCAAGAAGGCAATAGTCAAAGTAAGCCACTGTGAAGCCTTAACAAGGCCTGTTTAAATGTTAGTGTGACTCTTATTGATATGCTTATCATCACCATCTTTGCATATTAACTGGTCACGAGTAGGAGTATACTTGATATGAAAATGATAGAATTCTAAATGGAGAAAAACATGAAAGAATTTTGATTTAGAAAAATATGAAATATTAAAGGCTGTTTCTGTCAAAATGAGAAAGGAATAAAGGACAAACTTAAGAGAATGAACTGTGTCATTTAGGGAAAGCAGAAAATATTTTAAAGCACATTCACCTAACAGTTTAATTCTTCCATGTCAATTAATGAGGTCCTTGAAATCAGGGAGCAAATATTTTATTTATCTTTATACCTTATACGATTCACTGAGAATGTACAGAAAGCACCAACCCCTCCCTAACCTTCGTCTTACCCCTCAAATCCACAGATGGAAGAAAACAGGGCAATTACTTTTTCTTTGAGGATTTGTTACATATTAACTTCCTTCTTATGTGTGATAGAATTTGATTAAATATTTAATATGTAAAAGGAAAACTGACAGGAACTTTTATATGTGAAGATTTGTATAATTAAGAGTCTGAATGCAGGGCTCTTGAATTTAAAATGTTCCACTAAAAGCAGAGAATTTGATACACATCTCCACTAAAAGCAGGCATTTGATATGCAGCTTTGCCTCAATAACATTTTTTTCTGACTGAAGTTAGAGGAAGTAATAAAATGAAATGCTACTTTAGATTAAATTCTGATCAACAAGATACCACTGACTGATAATTTGGGAGTAGGGGAGTTCCCTAGGAGAAGTAACCTTGTCAAGTAGGAGTCTATAAAAATAATGCAGGTAAATATGAACACAGACATATACCTTAGAATTTAGAAGGGTACAATTAAGTAAAACTTAGAAAAAATAAACATATGCAAATATGACTCAAATTAGTTCTAAAAATAGAAACCCAACTACAAAATCACATTAATTAATATGAGGATAGGAGAAGAGGATACAATAGGCCTGTGTAGAAATACCTGGGCTGTCACATATTATAATGTACATAGAAAGGGAAGTAAAAAAACTTTTACAGTCTTTATAATTAGTGCCAGAAAGACTAAAATTTAGGAGTAGCTTAAGTTGCAAAATTGATTTTAAAGAAAACCTCTGAGCTAGAAAACAGTTTTAGCAATACAAGAAACAAGAAGGAAGTGATCCATTTACTGTTTGGTGAAACTATTGTTAGTGGCTGCTAATGGAGAGAAAACAGAAACATCCAAATCCTTTTGTTTGTTTTCTCTAAGAAATACTGTCTCCAAATTGGAAAGGTTAGAGTAAAATTCATTAAATGGAAAGTAAACCACTGGTTTACAAGGAACAGGGGTTTGGAGATAGTGAGTGTGTCCTAACTGACTTGAATAAGGCCTGACAAATAATTGCTCAGGGTCAATACACCAGCAAATGGGATTACAGTATAATTTAAAAGTACTAGAGAAATACTTGCGAAGAGTACCAATGCACAAGAGATTGGTATATTTTCTCAATTCTCAAAAGGGAGGAGAAAAAATTCTGATAATTGGAGTTTAGTACATTAAATGTTAACATTTATATAAACTGTAGAATACATCTTGAGCATGAGTATCCCTTATCTGAAATGCTTTGGACCAGAAATATTTTGGATTATGGATTTTTTATTTTTTTATTTTGGAATATTTGCATATTGGCGATGGGACCCAAATCTAAACACAAAATTCATTTATGTTTTATATACACTTTATACACATAGCTTAAAGGTAATTTTATGCAATATTTTTATTAATTTTGTGCATAAAATACATGGCCCATTACATGAGGTCAGGCGTGGAATTTTCCATTTGTGAAATCATGTTTTCAAAAAGTTTCAGATATTGGAGCATTTGGATTTTGTATTAGAGATGCTCAACCTGTATATTATCGAATAAATGCTTTGAAGTACTTCAAATAAGACAGTAGGGCTTCCTTAAGAATGAGCACTGTCAAACTAAGCCCTTATTAATAATTTTTTTACATTGGAAGAATATTATAATAAAGCTATTATTGTATGTTGATTTTAATATGGTGATTGACAAATTTTATTATGAAATCCTAAGGAAAGACATTGGAAAGTCTAGATAGATTAATGCCACTCAAACATTTTTGCCAAAGAGCTTCTAAAGGCAGAAGATAATAAACACTTTGGCCCTCAGATAGGAAAAAAAAAAAAAAAAAAGTTGAAAATATTTTAAAGCCTCGTTACTACCTTTAAAAGTCATAATATATGAGCTTCTATCAAATAAAAAGTGGCACTTCAAATAATGTGCCAGTTAAGCTGTTTAGTAGTTTTTCCTCCAGATCTTCAAGGGGAATTTATATACCTAGATATACCAATCAAATTTTCAAGCAATATTGACATGCCAGAATATGCCTTAGATAGATATATTCAACAGCTTTGAGTACTTCCTGGTATCTGCAGCCTGTCACCAGGGGTTCTTTTATCCTTAGTTTTAGGCATGTGAAACCAGACAGATATTCAAAGTTCAGTGACAAATATTCCACTCTTGAAATGCAAAGAAATTTCTATGGTTATTCACAAGATTCTGTCCTTGGACCAAATATTTTCAAAATGTTTGTCATTGCATGAATGCAAATGAATAGGTCGTGCTTATCACATTTATAAATGACATACAACTAGGGGAGAAAATTTATGTTGTATTAGATAATCAAGATCCACATTGTTTATATCAACTGAACAATAAGCCTAAAAGTTGAAATTTCACAGAGATAAAGTATAGAATCCAAATCAATTATGCAAAGTCTAGATGGAAAAGTCCTGGTTTGACAGCTGTTCAAAGCCATTATGTTGAAGGCAAATTGAGTATGAGCATAGCACAAGTCATATTTGCACCAACATTTTAATATAATCCTGGTCCCTATGTCAGAAGCTTTTTGCTAGGATCTAGAGATAATATCTTGCACTACTCACTCTTAGATCACATCTGCAAAAATGTGTCAGTTCTGTCTGCTAAACTTTTAACAGAAACATTGAAAAACAAGAGGACTGAGGAAGAGAACTGAGATGATGAGCAGCCTAGAAACTATATACGAGGAAATGAACAACTGAAGGATATTTCAGGGCAAGCAGCAGATGGTGTCAAATATTGGAAGGTTGTCATGTAGAAGAGATGGGTACTGGAGGTTCAGTGATATAAGAGAAAAAGTGTAGTGACACTAAGGTAAAGAGAAATGATTGGTCAGATGTGGGATACTGGAGTTTAAGATTTTAGAGTGATATATATTTGTGTCTACTGAATAGTCATTTGTGTTGATTGTGGCCAGAGTAGAAGTGAAGATCATCTGTGTAGAAATTGAAGTGACCTTTTTAAATACTGAGAGAGAGAGTTTGGGAAGGAGGAGTTAAATACCTCATGAATAAAGAGTGACCAACAGGTCAGCAGAGGATGGCAGAAAGTAGCAATAAAGTGTGGCATAGGAGAGA